GTGCTTAGTCGTGTCCAGCTCTTTGTGACCCTATGACTGTAGTTCTCCAGGCGCCTCTCTCCATGGGGTTTTCCAAGCAAGAATGCTGGAGTGGATTGCCATTTCCTCCTCCAGGGGATCTTCCCGACCCAGGATTGAACCTGTGCCTCCTGCATCATGCGTTGGCAGGTGGATTCTTTACCACTGTGCCACCTGGGAAACCCATGAGAGGCCCACACTGGGCTCACACCAGACCAACATCATGGTGTGTGCTTTCCTGCCTCAGGGCCTTTGTACATACCGTTCTTCCCACCCAGCCTGCCCTTCCTGGAATCTCTCTTGACACCTCCCCTTCCCTCCAACAGTAAGTCCCACCGTCATGCAGTCTTTGTTCATCCCTCAGTGGGATGAGCTTGTCTTCTCAGGAGCACCCCTACCCTAGCCCAGTCCTACCCCAGCAGTACCTTGTTGCCCCGCTCTGAAGCGTGCCTGTGTGCTGAGTCGCTTCAGTTGTGTTCAGCTCTGCAACTCTATGGGCTGTAGCCTGCCAGGTTCCTCTGTCCATGGGATTCTGCAGCACTAGAGTGGGTTTTCATTTCCTCCACTGGGGGAATCTTCCTGACCCAGGGATCAAACCTGCATCTCCTGCATTGCAGGCAGATTCTTTACCACTGAACCACTGGGGAAGCCCCCTCTCCAGGGCAGGGGACATATTTGAGAACACATTGCTGTCCTAAGAAGTGAGCAGCTTTTCCCATGTCTTTGCATCCGTGGTTTTTGCCTGGAATGCTCTCCCTCTGCTCTCTCGCTTTCCTGGCAAACGTCCCCATCCTTGAGACCCACGTAGACACACCCTCTCCCATGTGTTTCTTCATTGACCATACATCGAGCAGCTAGGGTGAACTAGGCACTTGAGCACCTACTGTGTGTCGGGTGCAAGGCTCTGGGGTTGCAGCAGGCTCTCAACCCTGTGTTCAAGGGTAGCAGCGGTGGGGAGGGGTATGTTTAGAGCGAAGATACAGAGGTGCAGGGTAGGGGGAGTGCAAAGGGCCATGGGGCGTGTATCACAGGAGAGGGTCAGAGAGTGACCTTCAGTGAGACCCGAAGGAAGAGCCCTAGTGGGCTCTGCTGCTGAGTCCGGGTGTAGGGTTGTCCACGAAGTTGCTCAACCAAGAACCAGACCCAAGCCCTGATCTTGGAAGGCTCACAGCCACCTAGCGGCTCAGGCAGATAAGTCACTGGGCCATTCTAGGGTAGTGGGATCAGTGCTTTGGGTTGCGGTGGAGGGGGAGCCCAGGACACTGCAAGAGCTCAGGGGAGAGGCTGCAAATACAGCCTGGGATGGGGGTGGCCATCAGGAAGGTTTCCTCTAGGCGGTGACATCTCACCTAACTCTTGATGGTTGATGGGTATCTGACAAGGTTCCCGCTGGGTGATGGCCCCCACATGGAAGGGCCCCCACAGGCATGGTGGCACGAGAGCGGTTTGTTTTGGGAACCTGAGAGTAGTGTAGTGAGGCTGGAGGGAGGGCTGCTGTGGGCATGTACCTGTCCGGATGCATGTGGTCAGCAAGGCCTCCTTAGCAAAGGCCTCTGGGCCACCCTGGAGAGTTTGAACTGTGCTCCCAAAGTTATGGCAACCCAATAAGGATTTTAAACAGGAGAGTGAGTGAGAAGGTGGGCAGGCTTTCCTTTGTCTGACTTTGGCTCCCAAAGTCCCCAGGTAAGAAAGGGGGGTCCCTTCCTGACTGCACTCCTGGCTGGGGGCTCGAGGCTTGCTGTGGGACGTTGAGCACGCTCCTGGCCCTCTCTGAGCCCAGGTCTCCTGGGTAAACCTGCAGGGCCTGAGGCCAGAATCCTAATGGGGCCGTAGGCGGGGGCTGGGGTGTCCTGCTTGGCCAAAACTGGCTGAACTGTTAGTGTTATTAAAAATATTCCTTAAAAAGTCATGTAGCCACACTGCAGAAAAATCAAGAATAGAGAAATGAAGTAAACCAAAACCTACCCCATTTCTGTCCCCACCCCAAGCCCGAAACACACCAGTGCTAGTATTTTGGTATTTCCTTCCTATCTTTTCTTCCAGCACCTGGTTTTTATATAGATGTCATTGCTCTATCTATACAAATAATTTAAAATTCTCCCCCCCTCCAATTATTGTTGTATCACGAGTGTTTTCTAAATGACTGCAGGGTGGTTTTAATCCTTTAATGGATCTAGTGTCAGGATGGAGAGCATGGGCTTCGGAGCCTGACTTTCTGAGTTCAAATCACACACACACTGCATGACTTTGGGCAAGTTACCTAATTTCTCTGTGCCTCAGATCTTTGTGAGGTAGATATGAATGTTAAATGAGTCATTACAATGCCAGGAAACATTGGCTGTTATCAACGACTATAGACTGTGTCACTGTGTAACATGATTTACAGAGCCATCCCCCTATTGTTTAACATTTTGGCTGTTTCAGGTTTTTGCTACTGTTAAAAAAAAAAAACAAAACACTGAAGCAAACAGCTTTGCACATAAAACTTTGTCTATCTTTGAGGTATTTTCTAGGGACAGATGACCAAGAATAGGATTGCTAGACCAGGAAGTTTGAACATTTTTATAGAGTTCATGACACATTATTGCCAGATTGTTTTCGGAAATGACTTCCAATTTCACCATACCCTCACCAGCATTGAGTATTACCATTTTCTTATTGCTTTTTTCTATTTTAACTTGTGAAGCTCATTTAATTTTTGCTGCTAGGGAAGCAGAACCGTTTTCTATGTTTATTAGCTGTTAATAACTTTTTTGGTCTGCTAGTTATAGCATACAATCTCTTCTCAGATCAATTAGGAAGATACAGGAAATAGGGAAGAGTATAACACAGGGGACAACATAGTGTCAGAGTGGTGGCGGGGACTCAGAGGAGGGGGAGGGGACTTTCCTTTATCTAGGCCATGACACTTTCAGTTCCCTCTACTTAGACTATTCATTCATTCAAACATTTATCAGGTACTTTTTGGCTTAAAGGTAAATGACTCAGCTTCGATTGTGCCCTGACAGAGAGCATGTCCAACAGCAGAGATGGATGAGAAAACAGACAGAAAATGGAATGACAAGTGTCTGATGATGGAAATGCAGGGCACAGAAGGAACAGAGAAGAGGGGCGCCCAACATAGCCTCGCAGTCCCAGAAGGCTTCCAGGAGGAAGTGGCCTTTAAACTGGGGCCTAAGGAATAAGTTGTAGTTAACCAGTGAAATGGGGGAGGGCAGAGAGTTCCAGGGAGAGGTGAGGAAGTGAGAAGGGAAGTGGAGCACTGGGGAAGCCCTCGGTCTGGCTGGGCAGAGCGGAAGGTGGAAACAGCCAGTGAGGCCAAAGAGGTCAGCAGAGGCCGGTCACGGAAGGCCTCAGGAATCCAGACCTGGTCTGGAAGGAATGAGAGAGCCATTGAAGATTCTCATGAGAGGAATGTTGTGATCTGATTTGTGTTTTAGAAATAGCAGAGGGACTGCAATAGGAGAACAGAATGGGAGGCGTGGGTAGAGGTGAGGGTCCCTCGGAGGAGGATCTTGGAATAGCTGAGGCCAGAGCAGAAGGGGGCCGGGACCAGGGCAAGGAAGGTGGTAGAAATACTCCCGGTGGATCCTGGCCGACACCTGCCAGGACCCACTCGGTCCTGTGTGCCTGGAGGATGGGGCCTGTGCGGGATTTGGCATGTGACGATCAGCTGAGCGCCCACCATCACCGACCCTGATCCTGCCTGCTTCCCACTGCCTCCAGACCCTTGTCTGTTGCTCCACCCCTCCCCCTGGCTACCAACCACTTTCTTTCTCTCCTTTTTTAAAGAATAAATTTATTGTTTTCATTATAAAAGCAACAACATTGCAGAGTATTTGGAAATCAGAGAAACAAAGGCAAAAAACCAGGTTAGCTCCAGCCGCCTCCCCCAGCACTGCCAGCCTCCCTCTGGGCGTGGTTCCCCACAGCTTGCTTTTTCTGACGCAGGTTTTTATTTTTGCCTCCTTGTAATCATAGTATCTGGACAGTTTTGGGTCCTGCTCTCTCCCATTTGCTTGTTGGGAGCTAGTTCCCTGGTGGCCATGGGGTCTGGGCAAATCTCATTTTTTAACATATCTGGGCTGGCCTGGGGGTGGGGTGGGTGGGACAAAAGTTGCTTAAATACACCCTCTGTCCTGCAGTGGGCAAAGCTAATCACCTTCCCCTTGGGCTGCCCCGTTTTCTGTGCAACTGTTTGTCTAGGCCTGAACCTCCCCAGGTGGGACGGCCTGGCACCTGGTGTACCCCTTCCTCAGTGCCCCTGCCCTTAGCTCCCCTTCGTGGAGCTTGCTAGGCTGCCCTCAGGGGCCACTCTCCTGGGAAAACGTGATAGACAGACTTGGTTTGCGATCCAGACTCAGCTCTGTGACCTCAGGCAAGTTACTTAACCTCTCTGGGCCTCAGTTTTCTCATACGTACAATGGGTCTATTGCAACAGTTAAATAATGGCTATAAAATGCCCTGATACCTTTCTTGGCCTACTGTAAGTGTTCAGGAAAAGATGGTCGATGTTGTACTTTCTCATTCGACAAAGAGTTTCTGAGACCACCTTGGACTAGACGCTGGAGTGGCAGAAGTGAATGAGCACTGGCTCTCCCTATGTACAGAGCTGAGTCTGGTGGGGAAGTCACCCAGGGAACACGACTGCACCACCCCCGCACCGCTGCAGCCAGATCTGGGTGGCGTCCTAACTCCATCACTTGCTGGCTGTGTGACTTTGGGCAAGTTGGTCGACCTCTCTGAGCTGCAGTTTCCTCTTGTGTTAGGTGCATATCTCACAGCGACATGATGCGTGAAACATACTCAGCACAGTGCCTGGCACTTAGTAGGTGTTGAAATCAAAAGTAGCTGCCATTTTTATTGTTATTGTTATTGTTATTCCCATATACAAGGTGCTGTTGGGAACACAGAGGAGTGGCTGACTGGGGGTTCAGGGAAGGCTCCGTAGAAGAGGGAACACTTGAGCTGGGTCTTGAAGGATGAGTAGAAGTTCACCAAGTGGGAAAGGATCCTCTAGGTAAGGAGCCTGCGATTGCAGCTTGAAACCTGTCAACCAGGGCTTTGTTTGGGTGACGAAGGCATCGTGTTCATCCTGACTCCCCTGAGTGCCCCTCACCGCCTCCCTCTGGGTCTGCCTGGGGGCTCTGTGCGCCCACCCTCCTGTCATAGCATCCACCTGTGACTCTGTCCTGGAGGTTGTGGGGTCCCGCTCACGGGAGTTGCCGTGTCCCCATCTGTCCATGTTTCGGATCATAGATCTGTGTCTGTCGGTGTTTGGTGCTGTCTGTCTGCATGTTCCTGTGACTCTGTCTGTCTGCGTCGGTATCCAGGGGACCTCCCAGGCCACACCGTGATGGTGGGGGGCAGTCTGCATGTTCCCTTGGCCTCCAACTTTAAGCAAATAGCCAGGCCTCCTTGGTCATTCTCCTCCCTGGCCCAGGGTAGCTCCTGCCTCTCACCTCCGTTCCATTCCCTGGGGACCTTCAACCCGTTCCCTCCCACTGCCTCCTCTCTTGGCTTCTCCAGTCCGACCTATGCTCAGCAGGCAGAGGGGCCTTTGTAAGCCACAGATTCTGTCCCATCACCCAACTGCTTCAAGTCTAGACCCCAGGCCTCGGATTCAGGAACTGCCTTTCTAGGTCTAGCCGTGTCCAATGGCTCCAGGCTCATCCTGTGTCACAGTCCACGCTGATCACTTTAGCTCCCCTCCCACACCATGTTGTTTCTCACCTTGGGATTTTGTTAAGACTGCTGCTTCCACCAGCAATGTTCCCCACTCCTTCTTTGCCTGGCTAACTTCCACTCATCCTTTAAGACCCAAAGCATGTATCACCTCCACTGGGAAGTCCTCCCTGATCCTTTCTTTGCATCCTGAGCTCTGGGCTGCTCATCCCTGACTTGTGGGGTAAGAACAAGTGACTTGCCCAAGATCACACAGCTAGTGTTTTGGCGCCAAGATTTGAACCTGGGTGCCCTGGGCTCCAACTAAAGCAGGTCCATGGTCCAGGTGAGGGGACAGTAGCTAGGATTTGTGAAGAGGATGCAGTGGATCTGAGAGAATTTGGAAATGGCATCCTGGGGACGTGGCTGGTGGTGGGTCTGAGCTGGGTGGGGGGAGGTCAGGGTCCATGGCAGGAGCATCTGGGTAGGTTGGGATGCCCTACTCAGATTGGATGGCTAGCGGATTATGTATCCCAGGGGAAGGCCAAGTCCAGACTGAACAGCCCATGAGCGGTCAGGGAAGTAACTGGAAGGTGGTCCTGGAGCTCCAGGGGGCAGCCAGGTCTAGGGGTGGAGACCTGGGGATTTTCTGGTATTTAAAGCCCTGGAGTGGATGGACCATCCAGGGACTGGGCCGGTGCAAGGAGGAGGCTCCCGCCCACCCTGAGAAGCCTAGGCTGTGGGGGTGCAAGCTGGGAAAGAGACTGAGAAGATGTGGAACCCAGGGCTCATAGCACTGATCTCCGAGGGTCAGGGTGGCTGGGAGGCCATGAAGGATAGGACTGGGAGATGGCCCATGGGCTTTGACCACATGGAGGTCCCTGGTGGCATGTGGCAGGTCTCATAGGCCAGAATTCTTTTTTTCACAGAAGCTTCTGGGTCACGTGTCTGCTTCCTCCACTTAGCTCAGGGCCCCCAGAGGACAGGGCTCTTCTCTTTGCCTTCGGTTCCCCAGCCACCAGTCCCCAGTTTGGCCCAGAGGATGTATCCAGAACCAATGGATGGGTGGATGGGCAGGCGGGTGGCTCTAGAAGGTGTTTCATTCATTGACCCATCTGACTTTTTTCACCTTTTTGAGCAAGAAAAACAAAATGACACCTTGCTCGCCCTACTGCAATGATCAGGGCTGTGTATCTTGAGGCCCACCGCCCAGAGTCTTGGCTTCTGTCCGGAGCTTTGAAGCCCAGTCTGCATATCCTGCCCGACTGCCAGCATGTCTCCTCTGCCCGTCCGGCCTGGACACTCAGCCTCCTCTGACCCCGGTTCTTCTGTCCCCCGGCGCTGTCCCCAGGCTCCTCCTGCTGACCTTGGTCCTCTGAGCTACCTGGCTGCCCCGCCCAGCACACTCCCTGATGCCTCCTCACAGCCAGCATTCCTTCCCAACTGCTAGCACAGCATTCAGGACGCTGCTGGCTGGCGTCCGTCTCTCCCCACCTCACCACTCTCCAGCTCTCTGTGGTGTTAGTGGGTAGCTGCTCACTGTCCCATACCTGCTCCATGTCTGCCCAAGCTGTTGCCTCCACCTGGATGGATGCCCTTCTGCCTTGTACACCTGTCCTAAGCAGATATCCAGTCATCTCTCTCCTGCTTAAAATGTGTCTCTCAACACAAGTTCTGTGTGGCTTGGTTTGACCCCAGCCACCTTCCGATCCTGTCTTGCAGGTCCTAGGACTGCACAGATGCACACTCAACTCGAAGGTTTGTTGAGGGGCTCATGTGAGATGCTCTTGATGCGCGTCTGGCAATGAGCTGGGCCCTCAATAAGGGCTCAGAAAATCCACCCCTCCCCCTGCCCACCTTCCTGCGCTAACACAGGTAGATGTACACCAGGACCTGGAGCACTGACCAAATCATGAAGTTCCTTAAGCCCTGCCCGAGAAGGACACAGAGGAGTGAATGCTGTGTGGGTCAGATTCCATGACCCATGGCAGACCCTGCTCCCTGTCCAGGGTTGGGGGTGGTTTCCCTCCCTGATCAGGGGTTTGATGAGTGGCGGAGAGGATGCTCTATCCCAGCTATGGGACCCCCTACCTCCCTGACCAGAGTGGGGCTTTGGGAAGCCTGGACTTGGCATTGAACTCAAGAGGAGGCGAGACAGCTCCCCTGGAACAGTCCAAGGAGTGGTTGGGTACAGTGGGCAGAGCCCTGGGCCAGGGCAGGAAAGAGACATAGGGGCCTGGGTCAGTCCCATTTTACAGATGAGAAAAACGGAGGCTCAGATTGCTGATGCCCAACACTGCATGGCAGTGCTTCCTTCCGTTTCCCCTTCTGTGTGGCCAGGAGCAAGGGCTTCCCTGGTGGTGTCCTAGCTTCCTCCTCTGCGAAATGGAGGTGCAGATCTTCCCGGCTTCCTGGGGCTCTGGTGAGAATGCTGCTGGATACAGAGGGCATTGTACACCGTCAGTGGTGGTGGATAATCGTGGGATTGCCTTTAAAATGAGTCTGATTATTTATTCCTTAATTTATTCATTCTGTCCTGCAACTCACATTGTTGATCACCTTTGGGCCTAGGCACTGGTGATGCCAAGCTGAATGAGACAGGTGTCTTCACTTCCCCGTCCTCTCTGAGGCAGCTCCCTAGCTCCCCTTTCCCTCAGCCCTGGAGCCTCCCTACCCTGGCTCTGCAGCTCAGATGACCTCACATTTTCCCCAGTGGACAACAGCAGGGGAGGGACAGGTCTGAGACTTGTGAATGGAAGGGTAGTGGGTGCCATGCCATCCTAACACAGGGCCTGTCCACAATCCTACAGTCAGGATGCTTTGCCCTTCCTCCGAACAGCTTGAGAGACTGATGAGCTGGATGTTGGGAGTCGGGCAGATCAGAGTGGGGATCTCAGCTCACTGCTTACTTGCTGTGTGACCTTGACCAAGTCACTCTTCCTCTCTGAACTTCAGTTGTAAAGGGGGATGAGGAGCGTACCCGCCTTTTAGTATCAGTGTGCCTGGCACAAGGTGGGTACTTAATAAATGGCAGCCTCCTCACTGTTCTTACTGTGTTGAGGTCTGTCTTTGAAAGGAGATATGTTCCAGGGACCTGGAGCAGTCAGGGAGAACTCCAGGCAGGCAGTGTTTCTGGTATTGGGTTGTGAGGGATGGGCTGGGTTGGATGGGTGGAGAGAAGGGCAGCTTGGTGTTTGTGGGTGGCGGAAACAGGAGGGCTTTTAGAGCTGCCCGGCCACCCGAGAAGAGGGCACTCTGATTCCCAGCTGGCCAGACTCAGACCCAAACCGACCCCCAGGCTGGGAATGAGAGGCAAGACTTTCATATACAGGTATTGAGTCATATGCAAGTGGATATTTGTTCCACCAAAGACTGGGGTTTGCAAAACACATTCCCCAGAGGAAACAGCCTGAGCAAATCTGATGTCTAGTCTTGACTCTTGGCACCCTAGCCCTATGGTCTTGGGCAGATCTCTTCCCCTCTCTCCAAGCCTCAGTTCCTTCACCAAAAAGTGGGATAATACCTCCTGTGACTACTCCTCGAGTAAAGATCACAAGCGATAATGTATATAAAAGATCTTAAAGTGTTGAGATTAGGTTGTATCCTTACAGAGGGTTTTTTTTTCCCCTGAAACCCTTTGCTGCAATTCCAGTAGGGCTTCTCCCACTTGTAGGGCCAGGAAAAAAGGTTAGAGACACTTCATTTCAGCCTTGCCTGTCAAAAGAAGCAGTTCCATGTAAGCGACCAATACCAGTAGGCATTTAGTTAGTGATTTCTGTAAGGGACAGATAAAGAAGAGAAATTTGATATGGAGTGAGACTTCACGGAATGCCCCTGTCCAGCACAGTCTCTGTAAGTCACTTCTTGACTTACTGTAGGGCCACAGGAAGACGTGAGCCCTCTGGAAGACAGAGATAGCTTTGAAGGCCCACCCTTTATACTGCCCTGGTTGCAGAGCCCTTCTCACTGCACAGGAACTTGAGAGAGGTGGGGCCACCAGACAAATTGTCACATTCTTCTACTGAAGGGCCCCAGGCCTCAGGCCTCTTCATTCCCCTCTTAAGTACAGTGTTCTGACACATCCTTATAGGCAGAATGTTGCACCTGGCCATGCTCGTTTCTTGAGAACTTTCCAGAGGTACAATTCCTTGGGTCAGAGGGCAAAACTGTAATCATTTGAGTCCCCGTAAATCATCCTGCCAAATTGCCCTTCGCAGAGGCTGTTACCTGATGACCCAAGTTGCCCGCTGTGTTCTGTGGGTCAGAAAGGCAGGGATCAGGGAGGAGCAGTTGCCTCTGCTCTGCGGCCATTGACAAGGTTGGCCCAGAACTCCTCAGTTTGTCCCAGGGCAGCAGACTTGTGTGTCTAATCCATGGGGTTGGCTCTGTAGCCTAGGGTCTCTGTGGGGGGACAGGGATTAGTCCACTGGCATCAGGGTGATTTGGGAGGGGTGAGCTGGGGGGTGCTCTGTTCCAGATAGGACCCTGCTCTCTGGGGCTCACTGTGGGAAATGCTGAATTCCAGAGCTTCAGCCTGGAGGTGTGGTTCTTTGGGCCTGGTGGGAGTCCTGCTTTGCTGTGGGATGAGGGTCCCACGGGGGCAGGGATCCCAGACACTGGCCCAGAGTTGAGCGGGCATAGCTGATGGGAGCTCACCCTTGGCCAATGGGGAGGGCCCTCTTCCCTGTGACAGTCGCTCTCTCCCCGCAGGATGGCCGAGCCTCGATTTAACAACCCCTACTTCTGGCCCCCTCCTCCCACCATGCCCAGCCAGGTAAGACGGAGCGTCACCCCTCCCGCCGCCCTCCCCTTCTCAGAGCGGCTTGGGTTTGGCCGGGCTTTGGCTGCTGCCTGCGGGACAAGGGGTTCGCGGGTGGCCTGGTGGCCCGGGGACGGGGCCGGGGACGGCCCCAGCCCTCTCAGTCCCTCTCCTCTCCCTCCCTTAGCTGGACAACCTGGTCCTGATTAACAAGATCAAGGAGCAGCTGATGGCGGAGAAGATCCGGCCGCCTCACCTGCCGCCCACGTCGGCCTCGTCGCAGCAGCCGCTGCTCGTGCCACCGGCGCCGGCCGAGAGCAGCCAAGCGGTCATGTCGCTGCCCAAGCTGCAGCAGGTGCCGGGCCTGCACCCGCAGGCCGTGCCGCAGCCCGACGTGGCGCTGCACGCGCGGCCGGCCACCAGCACGGTCACAGGTACCGCGGGGCCGGGTGGGCGGGGACTACCTGGGAGGGGTGTGGCCGTGTCGCCCGCCGCGGGGCGGGGCCGGCAGGGCCTGGGAAGGGGGTGGGGCTTCCAGACTTGCCTTCCTGTAGCCTGTTGACCTGCTTCACCAAGCCGGCCAGAGGGGGCCGAGGGTGGGTCGCTTTCCTGTCAAGGAAGCCAAGTCCACGCAGAGAATTTCAGGAATCCAGAGGAGAACCGTAACCAGACTTGTGTGGGGGATTGAAGGGTGAGAGAAGACTTCCTTGGGTGGGTCCCCATGCGAGGAAAAGTTGGTGGTTGACTAGGGAAGATAGAGCAGCATGTGCAAAGCGAGGGTGTGTGTCGAAAGCAAGAGTAGGACAGCGTCCGGGTGGGAAAGATCAACGGGTGATGAGAATCATTACCATCACGTGGCAGCTAACTCCAGGTGAGCATCAGTGTTCATCAGTGTTCGCGTTATCACTCCCAGCCCGTTCGGTGGGGTGGCTGCCTTTTACAGGCTGAAGCACAAAAAACAGCAGCTTCCTGTGGCTCACCCTAACGTCTCCATTCAGCAGATGAGCAAACTGCGGCCCAGTTTCACAGCCAGTAAGCGGCCTAGACAGGCATTGTGGTTCCAGAGCCCAGGCGTGAACCCTGTCGCTCTGTCGGGGCTCTGCTGAGGCACCAGATTGTGAAGGACCCCGAGGGCCACCTGGGCAGTTTGGACTTTTACCCTCGGGCAGTGGGAGCCCGTGCAAGTAGGTGAGGTTAGAAAGCTGGGTCTCTGGCTCTGAGGTGGAGACGTGGCTTGGTGGGAGACCGGCATGGAGGCAGGGAGAGCTGCAGGAGAGGGTGGTGGCCTGGGCCAGGCAGCGGCAGAGAGGATGGAGAGAAGGGAAAAGAACTGAGGGATGCTGAGGAGGAAGAGCCCGCAGGCCTGAGTGCGGGGCGGGATGAAGGGGTGAGGAGTGGGAGGGCGGGCACCGGGGACTCCCAGGCATTTGCCAGTGAGATGGAGCCGTCAGAGGAGCGGGGTGGGGGACTGACTGTGAGCCCAGTCCTGGATAGGTTGAGGTTGCGGGCTGGGAAGACTTCCTCGGCAATATTATGGGCCTGGGCTGCCTGGTGCCCACTTCAGAGCCTGCTGGACAGGCTTTTCCTGGTGGCCGCTGTTCCTCGAGCTGGCCCCTGCTGCCAGCCAGACACCTCTCCCCGTCTCCCTCCTCCCTCTCAGAGATGCCCAAGAATCTTGGGGCCTCATGAGCCTCCCCATCCAGGCCTCCTCCAGCCACCCTCTGCACATTCCCTCCTTATTATGACCTTATTAAATTTATTTTTTCATTATAAAAGTAATATTAAAAAAGTAATATAAGCATATTAAGGGAAAATTGGAAAAAAAGAGAAAGAAAAAAAAAAATCATAACCCCCAGCTCGTAACCCAGCAGCTTAGAGAGCCTTTAGTCCATTTCCTTCCTTTTCCATCATTTTTGTTTGTTTTTTAATGTGCAGGGGGTGTGTTTTGCTGAGTTTGTGGTAAGGCTGTACCCATGCCTTTAACTTTTTTTTCCTACTCACAATTTTATCATAAACATATTCAGTGCATTTTTATTATAAAGGTAATTCCTAGTCATTATAGAAAATTTAGAAATTGCAGACAAGTTGAAAGGAGGAAAAAAAATTAACCCTTGTCCTACTATTGTTAGCATTTTCATATGTTTTCTCTGTGTTTATTTTATTTTATCCTTTAATCACAGATATAAAAAATGGATGAATTCACCAGGTAAAACATTCAAAATAATAACGGAAGCAGATAGCGTATGAAAATCTCCTTTTACCAACAAATTCTTTGCCCTCCCTAGAGAGAAGCACAATTTACACATAGTTTAGTTTGGTGTGTCTCTTTTCAGATCTACTCCTGTGCTTTCACGCACACACACATTGTCTGTGTATACATGTGTCGTTTGGATATGTGTGTTTTTGAATACATGGGTTCATGCTGTGTATGATTTGCTTTTTCACCTGCCAGCCCAGTTTGGCATTCTTTCCTCCTCACTGCATGTCTTGTCTTGTCCTTGTGGTTTCCCTGTTCTTCGTCTTGTGATGAACCATGTCTCTTTACACAGCCCCTAGTGAGGATAAGCAAACTGTGTCCAGTTTTGTCTGATCATTGTTTTGTCTGGAAGGTCCAAGTACACAGATTGTCTTGTATGGAAGGTCCAAGTACACAGATCTTTGTGCTCATGTGCAAATAATTATCTCTTTATGGGCAATTTCTAGAATTAGAATTACTTTGTCAAAAGTTATGTACATTTGAAGTTTTAACGGCTGTTGCCAAAGCACCCTTTATTATTAAGGTTGATAAGCATACACTCCCAGCATGTATGACACACACGCCAAATACCTGTGTCAACTCTGGATATTATCTTTTCCAGTGCACAAATTTTGGGTTTCTTTTTTTTTTTTTAGCATAGTTTTAACTGTATGATAGATATCATTTTCATTTTTTTGTGTACTTTTTTTGATGTTATAAATGTTTCTAGTCCCTTTGTTTTTAAAACAATAACTTTTAATACAGAACTTAAAAAAAAAGAAAAAGTTCATTGTCAAAAGAATCAGAAAGTTAAGGCAAAAAAATTGTTTTAAGATTACCCCTAATTGCACCATCCATATCACATGTTGGTGCATCTCCATCTCCTACTTAACTTTTCTGGGCCTTAAATTTTTTTTTTTAATTTTACAGTCTTTTTTTTATTGGGCAGTTGATGTTCAGTAGAGAAAATTGATCACAATTTATTGAAACCTTCCCTAATATTGCATATTTCAGTTGCGTCTGATTTTTACTATAAATGACAATAGTAGTGAATATCTTTGTGCTTCAGAGTTTTCTGTTTGTCTGTTTTTTGTTGGGCGGATTTCCAAAGTGCCCCTGTTATATAGATGATCAGACTCATTTAGTCCTTAGATGGGCTTCCCTGGTGCTCAGTGGTAAAGAATCCACTTGCCAATGCAGGAGATGGGGGGATTCCATCCCTGGGTCAGAAAGATCCCCTGGAGAAGGAAATGACAACCCACTCCAGTATTCTTGCCTGGGAAATCCCATGGACAGAGGAGCCTGGAGGGCTGTAGATCATGGGGGTTGCAATGACTTAGTGACTAAACAACAGTCCTTAGGTATCTAAAGAATCTTACACGGCTCTCATTTATTGACCCCTGAGTAAAACTTTGCAAAGGGAAGGGAAGGCTCAGAAAGACTGGCGACTTCTCAGAGACACACAGCTGGGTGGCGGGGGCTGACCCGGGCTCTGGCTGCCCCTCATCCCTGTCCCCACCCCCGTGTCTTCACAGGTCTGGGAATCTCCTCCCGGACCCCGGCTGTGAGCACGTCGGAGTCGAGCGCCGGCACGGGTACCAGCAGCCCGTCCACACCCACCACCACCAGCCAGAGCCGCCTCATCGCCTCGTCCCCCACCCTCATCTCAGGGATCACCAGCCCCCCCCTCCTGGACTCCATCAAGACAATCCAGGGCCACGGCCTGCTTGGCCCCCCCAAGTCCGAGCGCGGCCGGAAAAAGATCAAGGCGGAGAACCCAGGGGGGCCGCCTGTCCTCGTAGTCCCCTACCCCATCCTGGCCTCGGGCGAGACTGCCAAGGAGGGCAAGACATACAGGTGGGGGTCTTGGTGGGAGGGGTCCAGCAGGCTTGGGACGGAAGCTGGTGCCTCGGGGCTGCCTCCGGAGCCTAGCAGTGGGGGATTGCAAAGTGGGGGGCCCAGAGGCTTGAAGGTGGAGGATGTGGTCTAGAGGGGTGGGGTCTCCTGACCCTCCCACCCCAAACCCTTCAGAGGTGGGCAGCCTCCACCCCACCACAGCCTGGGATTTTGAGAGTCTATTTCCTTCTCTCTTGAAGCAGTGTTCTCAACTCTCAGTGTTAGAATCATCTGGAGAGCTTTTCAGAAATGCCAGTGCCAGGGCGGTACCTCCAGAAATTCTGATTTAACTTGTCGAGGAGAGGCATATGGAGGGCCTGGGATGAGCCATTCCAGGAAAGCTCCCCAGATGATTCTAAGGTGTCTACAGCCAGGGCAGAGAACTCACCGAGTGTTGGAGCCCCTCCTCCAGAACCACGGCCCGCCAGGCAGCTCTTCCCCGTGAGGTGGAAGCCTGCTCCCCCGCCTGCTGCCCATGTGCCTCGGGGGAAGGATGTCCAGGCTGGGGGCCTGCCCGTAGCCCCCCACCCCGGACCCTCCTCCCAAAGCTCTGGCACTGGTACAAGGTCTCTGATATAGAGGGTCTCCCCTCAGCTATCCAGGCACGGTTGGAGGGATCTTCCTGGGGTGAACCTGCCTCTTGCCCACAGGTGTAAGGTATGCCCGCTGACCTTTTTCACCAAGTCCGAGATGCAGATCCACTCCAAGTCGCACACAGAGGCCAAGCCCCACAAGTGCCCGCACTGCTCCAAGTCCTTTGCCAACGCCTCCTACCTGGCCCAGCACCTGCGCATCCACCTAGGCGTCAAGCCCTACCACTGCTCCTACTGTGATAAGTCCTTCCGACAGCTCTCCCACCTCCAACAGCACACCAGGTGAGTGGCCGGCCTGGCGCTGCCCCGCTGCAGCTGGTTTCAGCTCAGCACCTGTGCCCAATGCCAGGACCTTCTCTAGGTGCCTTCCCCAGACTCCTTTGCTTGGCATACAAGGCCTTTTGTGATACAACCTCTTTGGTCCTCCCTGGCCTCAGCTCTCACTCCTTGCCCTTCCCACCATTTGTCACCTGTTGGTCTTTGCATGTGCTGTATCCTTTACCTGATACACCATCCCCCTCCTTTCCCTTGTTTTTCTGGCCCTCTCTTATCCATCTCTCAGTAAAACCTCCTCCAGGAAGCCCTCCCTGGCCCCCCTGAGCCAGTTCCACAGCCGTTGGGCTTCCCCATCCAAGCAGTGGTAGACTGTCTTCGACTTGGCCTGGTTATTTACCCACCACCCCCAAAGTATTGGGGATTCTTAAAGGTGAGGGCCCAGTCTCCTCCATTTCCACATCCCTAATGGGTGGCACATAAGCCCATTGGAGCATTTATTTAATATTTGTGGAATAAATAGAACTGACTTTTCCAGGGCATGTGATTCATCCCTTTAACAAATATTTACACCGCCTCCACCATGTGCAGGCATGCCCCTCGGTGCTGGGAATACAGCAGTGAACGAAACAGAGACAGATTCCTGCCCTCTTAGGGTGTACAGTCTAGTTGAATGTGTGAAAGGGCGATTCAGAGATAGATGTGTTTTAAGGGAAAAAAGTTTTTGCAGGGGAGTCTGTACTGGCATCAGACTGGCTCGCCAAATAAAAACACCATAGTGTTTAAAGAAATAAACTAAAGGTTACCAAATTACAGTTCACCTCTTCAGAGGGAAAGAAGCCCAGCAGTTTTCTCGTGTGATAGTTCTTATATCTATAAGCACGGCTGTCTGCCAATATCAGCATTGTGAAAGTCGGGATGAAATAGCTTCTGCTGCGGAATTTGTAACTCACAGAAAGTGCTCAGGGGTTTCTGTCTTTGGGGTGCTAAGATTAGACAGAGGGACCTGAGGTTTGGTTTTGTTGTAATTTATCCATTTCTCTCCATTGTCTCTATACTTTGCCCCAGAGTGCAAGATGTTATGTCTGTTTCTCTGACTTTGAGGCATGATGAGTAGGTTTGATGGTAAGGAACAAATAACAGGATAACCTCAAGATGGCATCAGTCTGCTTTTCTCATCCCCATGCCTCTTAAGGCATGGATTTGACCACATAGATTAATTTCAGAAACTTTCTGATTTTGTCATGAATTTTTTTTTGAAGTTTGGCTAGCTTTATGGACATGCATGCACGCGTGCTAAGTTGCTGCAGTTGTGTTTGATTCTCTGCAACGCTATGGACTGTAGCCTGCCTCTGTCCATGCCATGCCCTCCTCCAGGGGATCTTCCTCACCCAGGGATCTGGACCCTGCATCTCTTCATGTCTCCTGCATTGGCAGGCAGGTTCTTTATCACTAACACCACCTGGAAAGCCCCGTGAAGTGCTGATCAATAAACAAAGTTCCTCTGCTTGTTTGGTTATTAAAATTAGAGCATGTGACCCCCCCCAAGGTTTGAGTGTTAACTTCTGTCAGAAGATTTTTTAAGGCCCCAGGCTGTAATTTTAATCTGTGTATGTGTGAAAAGATTTTTCTTATCATGTTATCTAATCAAAGATCTACCTAAGTTCCTATATAAGATTAGGAACTTGGAACCATCAAATTTCACCTCTTGTCAGGTTGTGCCTATACAGCCTATAATGGGAAAATTACCATCTGTTTGGAGAATCCCTAGTTTGTCAGTGTTTTTGGGCTGGCATGAATGACTTTGCTCATAACCTTAAAGGCAAGGATTCCACAAGCCATGGAGTAGATTCAGTCCAGTTTCCTGGAAGCCTGGGGAGGCTGTATTCCCACTTATGAAGTACAGGCCTTGTTTCTCACTATCACACTGTCATGCCTAATTAAATGAAATTTGTCTCTAAATGTGACATTTCTGGCATGGTCATGGTTACAAATTTGATGTACCCAGTTATATCCCATTAAGAAAGAGGACAGATTCTTAGTGAACCTGTTTAGAGAAACTAATGGATCTAAGAAGGAAAAGTCTCAATAAAGGCACTTAGAGTATTTTTTAGCAACTGTTCTGGGTAGGTTTGTAGACAAGGCCAATTACATGTCTTTTCAATAGAACTATCATTTTAAAATTTCCTTGATATTTCATCAGTTTATATCTATGTTAAATTTGTCTGGTCCCCCTGCAGCCTACCCTCTGCGATTCTGCAGGGCTCACGGGAGCAAGGAACCATTTAAGGAATATTCTAGTCCAGTTTGTTCAAATATAGCCTCCTAAATTGATGAATAGAGGTAGATCAAAGGAAAAAAAGGGGGATTTCTTATATATTGGTGGTGGCTCAGTTGGTAAACAATCTGCCTGCAATGCAGGTGACTCAGGGTCGACCCGTGGGTCGGGAAGATCCCCTGGAGAAGGCAATGGCAACCCATTCCAGTACTCTTGCCTGGGAAATCCCATGGACAGAGGAGCCTGGCAGGCTACAGTCCATGGAGTCACAGAGTTGGACATGACTTAGCAGCTGTTTCTGTTAGAAGATAGAATATTAACCATAATTAAATCACTTTTATCCCAGTCCCAGGTCATAATTCCTGTTCCCTGACCTTGGGGAATTAGTCTGCTTTGCAAAGTTATCTCCTTCTGGACTAAAGACTTGGATCCTGGCTGCCTTGGCCTCAGGCAGTGTCCGGTTATGGTGATGGGGCATCTTGGAAGCCTGTGCCCTAGGTCTCTTTCCAAAGTGTAAAGAGCCAGTGCACTGGTCCAGTCCTCTCCTGAGGCCATCCACTCCTGGTATTTCTTTCAGAAGACTCAAGCTCTGACCTGAAGTACAGGCCTTTATGCAAGTGTGAGGCAGAGAGCCAGATGTATTGATAAGATTGAATGACTCTGGTCTATTTATCATCAACAAAATCAGAATGGAGGAGAGTGGGGTCCTCTGTTCAGGTGTGATGTATAATCAGTTGTTCAGATTAAAAGCAAAATTTTTTAAACTTTTTATTTTGTATTGGGGTATAGCCAATTACCAATGTTGTGATAGTTTCAGGTGAAGAGTGAAGGGATTCAGCCATAGATATACATGTATCCATTCTCCCCCAAACTTCCCTGCCATCCAGGCTGCCACATGACATTGAGCAGAGTTCCCTGTGCTATACAGTAGGTCCTTGTGGGTTATCCATTTTAAATATAGCAGTGTACACAGGTCTATCCCAAACTCCCTAACTATTCCTTCCCCCCATTCTTCCCACTGGCAACCATAAGTTTGTTCTCTTAAGTGTGAGTATCATCCTCTTTTGTATGTAAGTTCATTTTTATCATTTCCTTGTCAATTCCACATATAAGGGATGTCATATGGTATTTCTCCTTCTCTGTCTGTCTTACTTCACTCAGTATGACAATCTCTGCATCCATCCATGTTGCTGCAGATGGCATTGTTTCATTCTTTTTAATGGCTGAGTAATATTCCATTGTGTATATATACCACAACTTCTTTATCCATTCATCTGTCAATGGACATCTAGGTTGCTTCCATGTCTTGGCTATTGTAAACAGTACTGCAATAAACACTGGGGTGCATGTATCCTTTTGGATCATGTTTTTCTCCAGATATATGCCCAGGAGTGGGATTGCAGGGTCATATGGTAGCTCTATTTTTAGTTTTTTAAGGAACCTCCTTGCTGTTGTCCATCGTGGCTGTACCAGTTCACATTCCCACAGAGCATATTATAGGCAGCAAAGGCACTGACTCATCATCATGATCTTTTAATTGATCTTATAAAACAGGAGCCCGCAGCCCCCAGGCCATGGACCAATAGCAGCCCATGGCCTGTTAGGAACTGGGCTGCATCACAGGAGGTGAGCAGTGAACAAGCGAGCAAAGCTTCACCTGTATTTACGGTCACTCCCCATCGCTTGCATTACCACCTGAGCTCTACCTCCTGTCAGATCAGTGGCAGCATTAGATTCTTAAGGGAGTTGGAACGCTACTGTGAACTGTGCGTGTGAGGGATCTAGTTTGTGTGCTCCTTACGGGAATCTAATGCCTGATGACCTGATTCTGCATAATGTGAGTTGAATAATTATTTCATTATATGTCATCATATATATTATGCACCATATATTATTTTATTATATATTAGGTAATAATAATAGAAATAAAGTTCACACTAAATATAATGGGATTGAATCATACTGAAACTACCGCCCTGTCCCTGGTCTGTGAAAAACTTGTCTTCTGTAAAACTGGTCGCTGTGCCAAAAATGTTGGGGACCACTGTCATAAAGCATGTGTTTACGACTGGCACTAATAAGTAATTAAATCTAGGAAAAAAGTCTTTTCAAAGACATTTCTCTGTGGATACTTCTAGTGCTGGTCTGTGTACATGAAAATAAATTGTTGGGTTTTTTCCTCCATCTTAAAAAGTACACAAATATGTGTATTTATATTACATGTAATTATACATTACATATTATATTACTGTATATATTATATTTGTATAAATTATATGTAATTACATATATACACACATAAAATTAACTCAGGGAGACTGAGCCTTTTTTCTTTTGATTTGCCGACTCTCTTATGCTAGAAACTTCATAGACCGTTTATACTCTAGTGTTTGGCTAATTAAAATGCGGAGAGTACAAAATGTGACCTCGTTGGGAGCGTTTGTAAAGCTGGGGAGCAAATCTTTGGTGTTTCCCAGTGGCCAGCTGGAAACTCCCAAGAGCATCTGGGTGTAAAAGATACCTTGATAATTTATTATTCTGAATGGGGGCCTGGATTTGAGAAAGCTGGCAGAGTACGCACAAAGCTGGCAGAGGAGGCAGACTCGGAGCGTCAGTCTGGTAGGAAATAAACCCAGTAGCAAGTAATAATTAGAATCCTAGTGTTTTCAGAAATAGCTGTTTGTTTGAAAATATTATTTAAGGCCATGACCAAACAAAAAATTCACAGGCC